GTGGGGGGCACCTAAGTTTTCTGTCACTTAAAGTATACAAACTTAATAAGCATGAAATGGCAAAATAATATTTAAAAAAAAATCCTCAAGCCATATTGCATTTGGTTGTAATGTGAATTAATTCCATCTGAATTCCTGTAAGAATGCAGAAATCAAATAATTCCAACATTGCATCACTGGATTTAGCTGCTTTTCCCTTCTAAGTATAATGTTAATTAAAGATCATAGAAATGTTCACAAAAAGATCCCCATTTTTATAAACATATGAGGCTGTACTAAGGACAGCACATATAAAATAATGGTTTTTTTACTTACATTTTTAATGCAGCAACGCCATAATACTAAGCAATAGATCAATTACTCTACTCTTATTTGTAATATGAATTTATTCCTCATTTCACAGAGCTACATTCAATCTTAAATATTATAATAATCATAATTTTTGTAGTATAATCTTTGTTAATATAATTTATTTTACAATTTAAAGTTAGTACAGGTAAACCCTATTCCAACACAATGCTGACTTTGTGTTATGAACTTGGTGAGGAGGCTTCCATGTCCCCCTGTTGAGCTTTTTTGCATATTTGGAAGCAAATAATATCAGCCATTGGTAAAATCCATTGCATGCCCTGAAGCAACCTTGCAGTAGGGGAAGCTGTGTATTAATGAAGTGAGCTCAGCTTTTGTGGAACTACATGTTCTTTTCCTGCTGTTCTATTTCTGTCATATGATGCAACCATGAGCACATAATGAAATCAGCTATGTAGAGGGACAATGGGATATAGAACATTTTATGAGTTCATGTCTGATGGGACAAATGGGAAGAGCTCAGTCATAAAAGAAGTTTGTTTAATATTTGAGCAAGGGATAGTAAAGAAAGGACCCCTTTGTCGCACATATCCAGTGATCTTCTTCCCATTCTCCTTTTTACTACAAAACCTGTGTACTCTTCTAGATAGAAGTACTTGGAAATGTATCAACTGATCATATGAAGCTGCAAACTGCATAGTGCAGATGTCCTGGGCCTATCAGACACAGGGCTAAACTGAATGATTCACAGCTTTGGCCGAATGAGTTACATCCTTGCTATTAACAGCTTGGGAATTTGAGAGAAGAACTACAGTTGAAGCTTCTCTGCCTTTAGGTTTTGTTTTTGTCTTTAACTTCATTTTTTCAAAGCAGTTTTAAATTTCTAGCAAAGTTGAGAGGAAGAAAGTCTTACTTCCATTTCCTGCACGGAGTATGGGATATGTTTCTCCCTCTTACCTCTTCCACTTACCCCTTCCTTATCTGATTAAGCTAAAATAAATCCTTACTAAAACTTTTTTTAAAAAGTTGAGAGTAAGCTACAGAGATATTCTATATTGTTTTTAGACTTTGCTTTTGTCTTTCTACCTGATCCTTTTGAAGGTAAAATTAAATGAGGACATAGTTATCAAGATTGAATTGTTTGGGGCTAGGGATAGGCACTGACTGGATGAATTAGATTTATTTTTCAGGACCTCATTTCATAGCTCAGAATGTTACTCTGTTCCATCTCTAGAAACAATTTCTTAGCCTTCCTCCTGCTCTCCAGGCTCCTATGCATGCTTTACATACGAAGTTCAATGAGAATCCAGAAGTCACAGATATGCTGAGAAAGAACAGGGGTCTTCTGAAAACTTTAAGGCAAAGTGCTACATGTGTTTGGGATCAAGTCAGAATATCCCATTGTTCTCAAGGCATTCAGGACAGAAGAACAGGAACAAAATTAGACTGCATGAGAAAAAAATTTTTCCAAGGGCATGTGAAGAAAGACATACATAGATGAAGCGATTGAATGAATCAACAAAGGGGCAGTAAGTGTCTGCACTGTGCTGGACACTGGAGGAATATCCTGGGAATGATTCCCTATCAAAGAACCCACTGAAGTCCTTCACCTGAGTCTTCCTGTATGTTGACCCCAAAATCCTATTTGGATTGTTTATCCTTTTTTATTTTTTAAAAAACAATTAACTAGGTAATAATTTTGACATGTAGACATGTCCAGAAACACAAGTTAGGTGCCCATCAAACTATAGGGAGACCCTCTGGCATGTTCTTTCATTATCCATGAATGCTGGCCAAATGCTGGCATGGACAGAGCTATGGAGCCCCTGGGAAAAGAGAACCACTTTGCCCTAGAGCAGCCTGGAGGGCGCTTATTATGCTCAGGTCACCACCCAGAAGTGGGATGTTGGAGCTTGTAGAGAAGCCACAGGGCTGCTGTCAAAAGGAATAAACATTTGATAAGTAATCCTGAGGGGGAAAGTTGAAAGGGCCTGAGCTTAAGTGCCTGAACAACAAAAATTATTCAAAAGCGACTGCTTGGTCAAGGCCTGCCCTGCATGGTGAGTCCACAGGTATTTTAGCACAGAGACCCATAGACCAAGAGATGGCAGTTCAGAATATGAAGGCACTGTGTGTAGAATTCTAAAGAGACTTGGGTCTGTCACACTTTGCAATGTATGTCTGAAGAAAATGGCAGGTGGCCTTTTGGTAACTCCACCCTAATCCAAAATAATCAGAAACGATCCAGGTTAGAATAATAAACATACCTCAAGAAGAAGGTGAGGTTTTAATGAAACACTTAGGCCATTTGTGAAATGTGTGTGTTCATGAGTAAGTGAGGACATGGGTATGAGATATGTGTGTGTGTGTTTTGTAGAGTGATGCCTCTCATCTCCTTCCTTCCCAGAAGAACTAGTTCAAATATATCTTGGTAACATTCTGTCAAGGGGAACTGAAATTCTGTCTAGAGACACATCCTATCTGCTCTACTGTGGAAGGAAGCATGGTTGTATTTATCCCTAATTGCCTCATGTCTAATCTACTTTACTAGAGTGAATTAAGAAAGAATAAAGTCTAACTTTTATATCTGCATTTCAGAGAAAAATATAAGTTGTGGAACAAAACCTAGATGGTTGAAGACTCAGACTTTTTTTCCATAGATTTTCATTTTCTCTGTATATTTTGAAGTTCCATTCAGGTAAGATTATATATCTCTACAGATCTTATACCTGAGGTCATTACCTGTATTGGCCTTAGAATGTCTGTCTAGGATGGTCAGTGACTACTGGTCCTTGGGCTCCCAAAGTTGAAGTTCAGTCAACTTTGACGACCTCTGTGCATCTCTACTGAAGCAATGTCTAGCACTTCTACCTAACTTCACTTGTAACACTTCCCAGAAAGCTCAACCCATGTCATGAAGTAGTCAGTGACAAACTAGGAAAAGAGAAAACATGAAAAGAAGTAATATTTGAACAACACTCTGTAAAGAAACTCAGCTCTTTATAAGGAGGTAGAAGGTCCCATAGTGTGGCTGGAAGATCACAGCCTTCCTAAGGCTGGATTTTTCTATGGACAAACAACCTCAGATTCTAGTGGGTAAATGACCGCTTCTGTTTATTTTAAGTAGATCACACAGATTTCTAATGACTTCTAGTAAGAAGTCTATTTATCTCCCAGTAACAATTGGGAGTTTTCGTAACTACTAAGAATACAAGCGTTGGAGAAATAGCTTTATAAGTCACCAGAGTGGCTGTTTGATATTTGCTATGTGCCCCCTATGCTAAGTGACATTCGAGTATTCACCCTTGGATTCAATGGATGAAGATCTTCACCATTGCTTGCATTCCCAAGCATATGGTGGCACCATCCTGGTTATAAATTAAAGAGATAGTTCAGTTAAGACAACAGTGAAGGCATGGATATCAGTAATAAAAGAACTTCCATAAATATCTGCTGATTTCTTGTGAACTAAGTCATGAAAATTCAGAGCTAGGTTAATCTGAGCCATGCTTACTCTTCAACCTCAGGACACAGAGTTGCTCATAACCCACAGAGGAGAAGCCCAGAAAGCTACATTCTAACTGATGACCTGGAGCATCCTTCCATGACCCAGGTGTATGCTAGAGTTCCTGTCCATAGGTAAGGAAATTAACAATGTGTGACAATTTTTCAGATTTTTTTTGAAGAATGCAGAACATCCCATCAGGTAAGCAAAGACTGATAATGTGAAGGCATAAGGAGTGTACTTCATTTCTGCTCTCAAAGTTTACCCAAAGTATCTGTTCTCATGGAGAGCCAAAGTGTCTTAGGGGAAAGATATATAAAGGTAATTAAGGAAATTTTAAAAAACCACAATAAATAAAACCTTTCTGAGATACTGAAGGTAATATAATGACAAGGATCACTCACTTGAAAAAGTATTAATGCAATCCTCTATCAATTAGCTAAAAATCTTTTTTTCTGTAGCCAATGTTGTTAATACTTAGATACTGGTAAACACAATATTTTTTAATAGTTTTAATTAGTTAAAATGGTGGCTTATCTTAGTGCAATTGTGTTATTGTTTATTTACTTATTTATTCTGTATCTTATTGCTTCTTACTGTTATATCCAAAAAGCATTTAAGTTGGCTACATTTAGTTATAGTCATTTAAGTGTTAAAATCAAGACACAAGAAATCCTAAACGACACTTGAAATGCCCCTTGAGAGAAGCTATTGTGTTCGTAGATACCTCATATATTCATAAATCAAACACTGTGCATATTTAAGCCAGCAAAAAATACTGAGAACAATGTCTCTCATTATTTTAAAAAATGCAATTATTCTGCTTAGTTATGTTTTTCAAGTAGCCTGACATTGAAAACAATTGATGGGTATATAATTTGCTAATCAGTGATAGGCAGTTCCCAGGGAGGTCTCATCATTATTTTTATAATTTACTCTTTCAGAGGAGTTTCATGAATGCAAAGATTAAAACTGGGAAGCAGAGAGAAACCACTCTAGGATGACATTATCCTATTTAGCACCAGTACTTAACAGCAACAACAATTAAACCTCACAAATTAAGTCAAGGTATTGGATTTCTATTGGCTGAGTTACAGATAGGACATGTATGTGTAGTGATTTCCCCATATTAATTCCCCATTCACAACCATGCACCCAAATGAACTCAGTGCAACATACTATAGTGTAAAGAGTTAAATGATATTTTAACTTACGCCTTTATTTCTTGTCTCTTTTCTCCAAGTGATAATAAAGATCTCATTTACCATGCATGAACACTTACATTCCCTTTCTGAGAACATTATTGGTATAAGAGAGAAAAGTCATTTATTTAAAGGTTTCCCTGTTAATCTACAGCTTTTGGTAAATGTCTAGATTATCTGGTCAGTCAATTTGTCTCTATGGCCTAGAAGACACACTGGCTGCCATATTCAATCTAGATGAGTTGGTGTATGAATATTTATAAGGACATCAATATTTACAATGTTTTACAATCATGCTCCAAACTAAATAAAAATAAAAATAAACTGCCACAAATATTACAGTAAAATAGGATAAGAGCTAAGAGATATGTACAAATTCATTGATAGCATCTGTGCAAGTATTGTGGACAAAACACTCAAAAAGAAATTTACATAAAATAAAGTAGATAAATTTATCAAATATTGATAAATTTTCAGAGACAGTGTAAAAGTACACAAAACATGAAGAGAGGAAGAATTTTTTAAAATAACCACTATGTCAATACAGATAGTACATGTTTACTACATTTATATTACAGAATGATGGAAACCAGAGACAAAAACAATTTGGTAACAAACAGCAAAGAAAGTTTCACCAATCACAAGGAAGAAGGACATTTCTTTTGGAATGAAAACACAAACTGCCAGAACTCATCCCCAACCCACACACATAGAAAAATAAAAGCAAATGTAAAAGTTGTCTACAGCAACACAGGACAGACAGAGGTGGGAAGCATTTGGCATGTTGCATCACAGGAAGTCAATCACGATTGGCTAACGATGATGGTACCTGGCTCTGTTGCAGGTCACTGGCTTGCCTGAGAGGAGTAACGGATGGAGGAGGCACACCTGACGTAGATGCAGATCGGCCTAGTTTGCAGCTTACTTTAGGTTCTGTGAACAAAGGGGGAAGAAAAAGTATTAGCTGAGCAACATCTGCAGTGATAAAATGGCTTTGGGCCTCCCTTTTTTGTTTTGCTACATGTTCTGGGAATATGCAAACTGCTCCTTATGTTTGCTAATTATTGGCAGGTGATTAAACACTTTCATAACTGTTGACTTTAAAAGGAACTTTATTCACAGAGAAGCTCCTGGGGACTAAAGAAAAAATCACAGGCCAATTCCCTTGCATGTTTTATCTCATTTAGGGTCCGATTCTATGGAGTGATTACTGGTGCACCAATACACCATTAGGGACAAAAACAAGTAAGCTAATAATTTTTCATGCTTCATTTCCAGCTCTAGTGTTGTCCAGAACACTCCCACATCCTAAAATCTCTTACCACCCTTTCCAAATCCATCCCTCCTCTTCCTCCGCTCTATATTTCCCTTCCATCCTTTGTTCCTTCCTTCCACAACTACTGTCAACCATGCTTTCAATGTAACATATTTTTAAACTTATCTCTATATGCTTACAATTTTATAATTATCTTCTAAGACCCTCATACTCTATCAGGTACAAAGACTTTCTAATACCTTTGCACTCTTCCTCAGGGGAGACAGACAGTGACTGTAAAATCACTTGCTGGAAACTGGAAAATGTGTTAGAGTGGTGAAGTACCAGTTACCATGGTGTCACTCATCAAGATTCTCCCCGGCATTCTGGGGAGACTGGAAAAGTGGGGACTCCTAGGCTTCTAGAGGGGATACGAAGTGGGTAGCAAAATCTAAAGTAGCAGAGTTATGGATCCATGGGTTTATTTTCCAACCTACCCAGAAATCAAGTGTTTTGGAACGCATTCTTTTAGTTCACCATATTACTTCTATATTATAAGTAAACTGTATTAAGTGAAATATTCTATTACCAGGAGAGTATGGAAAAGTTGAGAAAATGGTAAAAAAGATGGGACTAAGTTATTTGTAAATCTCAGAGAAAAATACCTGGGATCTAACAAGTGCTTCTGATGAACGCTGGCTTTCATCTCCCCCCAAACACACACACGCATTTCCACACGCATTTATGAACCCAGTGACTTTTACCTCTACTCTCCCAGTCTACATTTGATGAAAATTACTATATTTCTCTTCCCATTTTCTATCTAGGACCCTTGAAGCTTCACCTTTCTTCTCCGTGTCCTATTTGCTTTCTCTTTTGTCGCTTGCTTTGTTTTTCACTTTGCACTTTCTTCGTAGAACAGCATCTCATGGCTTCTGATGCAATGTTTTCCCTCCTGAGTCACATACAGGTTCCTGCAACTGTGTCCTCTTGTTTGGTTTGTGTCTCAGTGCTCTCTGCACATCAAGCCATGCTCATTTCCTTGCAAAGAAAACCAAGACGGAGCTTCTTCTCAATGTCTTGGATTCCCTTCTGGTTTCCCCATGTATAGAAGGAATATTTACACCATTTTCCTGGACAAATCTTTGACATTTTCAGTTCAAAACTTTCATTTCCCTTCTCTGTAAAGCTACCCCTCTTAGCAGGTTGTTTTCTCTGTAATAGCTCCTATATTTTTACCAATCCATATTACAGAAACTTCCTACCATTCCCCCATAATTTCTCTGCTCAAAATTAACAATGCCAGATTGAATTTCCTAGATTTCTTTTAGACTGCCCACAGTGTTAAAAAATTCCAATTATTCCATATTTAATGTCATTAAAAAATTAAACTCAGACTGGAGGTGTAGCTCAAGTGGTAGAGCACTTGCTTTGCAAACACAAAGCCCTGAGTTCAAACTCCAGGGAGGCAAAAACCAAACAAACTAACTAAAAAATTAACTCACTTGCTTTGCTTTTAGAAGTCCCCTGTGATCTGGCACCATTTGGTAAGGTCAACCCTATTTTCCATAGCTCACTTTCTACTCCCCACAATACAGACAAGTAAGTCTCTACTCTCAGGGTCTACATCTATCTGTCACACCAAGTTGTTTTCATGACAGACTTTTATCAAGCCAAACCTTACCTGTTTTCCACGACCTATTTTAAGGTGTACTTCTAATGAGAAGCATTCTCTGATCTTGTTTTACTCTTTCTCTCTTCTGAACTGCCTTCGCCTATACTGTAGTGTTTGCACTACTTCCTGTGGTTTGCAGCATTTTTGCTAGCAGGGACCATAATGTAAGTGTTTGATTATTACATATTTTCTTTCACTAAAGACTCTCGAATTGCATTAGAAAAGATCAATACAACTTCTAAATACAAATAGAAACAATCAAGTAACATAGAATATGTTATTAGAGCAGTATTCGAGGCCTGGCTCACCTCTTTACTGGGGCAGTGACTCTCCTGCAAGTTTCCACTTTAGAAAAGCCTCCTTTAGTTTCTTGGTAGGTGATTCAAAAATCTGCCCACCCATTCCTGAAAATACCATTGGATTCTCTCTGCAGCTGTTTAAATGAGTATATCATATGATGACTTAGATAAAATATCACTGTAATTTATAAATTAACTTCATTTATAATGACAGAAATCCTTGCATATCTTAGAGAATCATCTTCTATTGTACACAGTGGCTGGTAAAGTGTCCATCAGAATCATCTATAATGTCTTCATGATGTACCACTGATTCCATATATTTCATTACTGGATTAAAACAGGTAGTCACATGGAGTGAGAAAGTTCTGTATTTCTACCTGTGAAAGGATGTCATATAATACTTACTGTAAGGTTCTTTTCAAGTGTATGTTGAAGATATTATCTGATGAAAAGTGAAAAGTGAAAAGGCCTTTCATATCACCCAATTCACCTAACTTAATCAGCATCAATCAAATGCAGTCAGGGATATCTCTTATGTGCAGACCAAGCCTTAGTAAAATTTAAGCAAATCCAAGTGCCATCATGACCTGGGAAGACCTCATTTATGCCTTCTTGAATGCCAGTCCAGATCACAGCTAGATATGGAGCTCCTTTAGGCACTGTAAGTTAAACTACTAGTCACCCATCACATGCAGCAATTTAGACTAGGCTACCCAGTGGTCAAATGTTCAATCCTAGCATGCCTCATATGGATTAAGACTCTACCTGCAAGTATAGATTGAGATTTTTCCCATAAATTTATTATATGCACACATATATATATATTTATATAGGCAGACACATGCACACACAAACAATATTGATGCTTAATGGTGTCACATGGTAAGGACATTTTTTAAATAGTGAGATTTTTCACTCATTTTGGCCCTTTCAGTTTCATATGATTTGTAACTTAAATGCATTTGGAATTTACTGTGGTGACTGTGGGACCAGGTTGATACAAATCCTTATGAGGTTATATCCATCAACACCTTTGACCAAGAGACATACAAAACAGCTCTAACAACCCGAGAAAAGATCCTCAAAGGAAATCAAGTCTTTTAGAAATTCTCTAGACCTTTGACAGCAAAGCTAAACTGCCCAGCTTACTGATCTTTGGAAATGCAATACTCACAGACTTAAACAGTGAGGCTTAGGAGCCATGACACTGGATACGTAAGTTTTCATCCTAAATTTTAATATAAAATTTGTCTAGAATTTTGAGAGATCCAAAACAATGAATCTATGGCTAGAAAGAATTGCAAGATAGAGCCTTCCTCCCCCAAGAAAAATTCATTTCATCAAGAGATAAATTATGACTTATAGGGTTTGGGCTCTTCCTATAGCCAAGGAAAAACCTCCTTCCTTGAAAACTCTATCAATAATATTCTAGAAGTAGAAGATATTGCTTGTGTAATTTCAGTAAAGATTAGTTGTAAAGGTAACAAGAAAAAGCAAGAAGAATGTAGTAGGTTCAGAAATAGAGACAGGTACAAAGAGATGGAGACAGGGAGGTGAGAAGACAAAGGGAGCAAAGGGAAAGGGAGGAAAAGGGGCTCACACTCATTTGGACTCCTAAGGTAAACCATTATCAAGTCATTATTTTAAAGATGTTTCCAGGTTAGAGTAACCAATCATTTTACTTTTAAAGTAAGTACTTATTAGACTGTGTTACTTATTAGTTCTTTACTTTTATTCTTTATGCATACAATCTTTTAGTGCTATGTTTTTGATTTTTGTTTTTAAGACAATCATTCATCTTTCCCTTCAGGTGAACTGAATTTCTATTCAGGTTTGTGCTCCTCAGTATTATTATAGGATAACCTTGAAGGCATTGTTGTTGTTCTGTTGAGTACTGGAGTTCTCAATACTCTCAGAAAGCAAAGACAAATGACTGTTGTTACTCACTATATCTGCATAGTCTTAAGAGATCAGTGCATTTTTGCCAAAGCCAAGAAGAAAAACAAAACAACCTACTTTCATCTAGCATCAAAGAAATAAATTCAGTCAATTTGGGGAGATGTATCTTTTCTCCATCTTGGTTTTCTTTTAACGCTTCAGATATTACTGCTCTAGCAAAGACATACCATGATAAACCAAGTCAGTCAAGCTATAGAAAGCTTATCAATGACTAGAGTTACATGGAAATCATGGCCCCTCCCCCCAACATACCAAGTTATAATTATTACAAATTTTAATTTCTTGGGATGGAATTTTTTGAAATAACAATTATTTGTTATTACCTGAGTAATAGGGGGAAGTTTAATTTTTCCAGGACTGTATTTAAACTGTTACAGCTTCAAATACTTTGTTTTTAAAACTTTCATCACACATCTTCATCTTCTTCTCTCCCCTGTGCCTGTCCCATCCGTCCCCCTTCTCCTTCTCCTTCCACCTTAATCAGGATAAGTCTCTCTGTATACCCCAGGCTGTACTTAAACTTACACTCCTCCTGCTTCAGCCTCACAAGTACAGTGATTTCAGGTATGAGTTGTCACATCTAGCTCCACCATGGGGGATTCATCAAGGACTCTATGTAGACTAAATAGTCTTTTCATTTGTAGTAGTATTATTTTAATAATAAATTTGACAATTAAATTTACCTATTCAGTGCAATCACTTTGTGCTGATTTTTAAATTTTCATTAGTGTTAATATAGCAT